GGTCCTTCAGGTGCAGTTCTCGGAAAGATTTCGTCGTTATCATATTGGGGCCAACATCCCTAAACTTAACCCTAGAAACCCGATCATCTTGGGGGCCAACAGCGCTGATCTTGGTTTAAAAGACTTTCGGGCTGTTGACGGATTCCGGCCGAATTCATCGGAATAGGCAATAACATGTTTGGCGTCGTCGTCATGATGGGTGGTGACTCTGGTGGTGATGAGCCCTAAACCCTGGTGGAAGTACTGGCGTTGCTGGTGCGGGCAGACGATTGAGCGCATCGTGGAAATGGACACCTCGCACCTCGATCCTAAAGGGACATCTGAAGAATTATAGGGCCGCACCTCAATCCCTACCATAAATACTCTCAGCACCGCAAATGCCTGCAATTCCTACACATCCTACCCGAAACCAACGGAAACCACAAACCCTAAATCCTGGAGCCGGGCTTAAGGTTTAGGGGTTTAGGGTCTAGGGCCTAAGGGGTTAAGGGTTTAGGGTTTGATGGTTTAGGGTTTAAGCGCACCTGGTCTTCAGGGACATTGACGCGGGCTCGGCAGTCGAGGAGCCACTCCTCGGGGCCAAATTAAGGACTTTGGGGTTTAGGGCTTAGGAGTTTAGGGTTTAGGGTTTAGGAGTTTAGGAGCTTAGGAGTTTAGGAGTTTAGGGTTTAGGGGACTGCTCCAGGTTTTTGTTGAGCACTTTCAGGGTTTAGGGTTTTGGTTTTAGGGTTTTCAATTCTTAGGGCTTTCAGGGTGTAGGGCTTTGCAGGATCTCAGGGCGTCAGGCTTTTCCCTTGGTACGAAAGCGTTTGAGAGAGTCGGGCTTGGGTTTAGAGCTGAAGCTTTCCATTAGGAAGACTGAAACAGTTCTACTACCTTAACCCTAAGGCTCTAAGGACTCACATTTTGAGGCTTTTTGGGCCAAAAGACCCTACTATCTAAGGCTTTTGCGCTCTTTTGCGCCTTAGGGCAAGCCTTGCTAGAAGTCGCAGGGTTGAGGGTCGAGGACTTCGAGTTTCGGGTTCAGGGTTTCGTTAAGGTTCAGCAGCTGCTTAAGGGCTTTTTCGGCGTAGGGGCTTTAATCATCGGAACGGGGTTCCGTCAAAGGGGTCCATAAGGGCTGCTATTTATAAGGGTTCTACATCTAGGGGCTTTTACCATTTTGTAGGGTGCTTTTGGTCTTTGGGACTAGGGGTGCAAGGCTTTCATGGGTTGGCCACCTGCCTGCTCGGGACTTTTTTCTAGCCTGTCTTTTGAAGGAGGCCAGAACACATGGGACTTTCCGAAAGTTAGGGGTACCTTATTTGGGGTCCTCATAATAAGGATCCTACTATTTAAGGTACTACTGGTTTTTTAGGGTCCCCTATTTTCGGAATCCCCCACATGATAACCAGGCCTGCACCCTGAATCCTAGACTCGCTCTGGGTTTGGGGGGAAAGAGTTTAGGGTTTAGGGTTTTGGGTTTAGGGTTTTAGGGGTTTAGGGTTTTAGGGGTTTAGGGTTTTAGGGTTTTAGGGTTTAGGGATGTCCGCACCGGCTTCCTCTGATAGCTACTGCAGAAGTCCGGGAAGAAGCTACGCCAGAGTCGATGATGGTAATCTCAGGAGCTAACCATCCACTACTGGTTGGACCGCAAAAGGTAGGAGTTTGCTGCAAGAAAGATAACCCCCCTGGCATACTTACTTACTTCTGACTCAGCTTGTAACCTACCCTCTCAAGTCTTTCGCAGCTCCCCTAAACCCTAAACCGCCTAAACCCTGAAACCTCGACCTCTTAGCAGGGTGAGCCAGGGCACTCCTCTGTCGGATCTTTTCGCGCCCTAGGCTCCATCTCCCCGCACATAGCCGCCACAAGGCTATGTGTCCTAAGGGTCCAAGTAGTCCTTATTTATGTTTTAGGGTTTAGGGTTTAGGGTCCAAGTAGTCCTCATCTATGGTTCTGGGTACCCATAAAGGCCCCAAAGTCCCCAAATAATGAGTACGTACTTGGACCCTTAGAATGTGTGAACCATAGGCTCCGCTGCTCCAACCTCAACCCCATCGCACCCTACAAGAAACCTGCGAGGGAAGCTTAGACCCTAAAACCAGAGCTTCAATCCGCGAAAACCCGACTCTCTCAAGGACATAAAGAAAATCCTAATGACGCAACCCCAACAATGTGATATATAGCGGCATTAATAATTAGAATAGGGTTTTGGGGCCCATTATACTATAATTATCAAAAAAAGAACACCCAAAATGATATTGGCAATTTATTCAGGCCCCAACAATGTGGGCTTTTTTGGGGGTTCAGGTCAACTTCGCACCCTCACTCCGGTCGGTCAGCTCTTTTGAAGACAGCCTGCAAGGTGTTGTCGGCTGCGGGCTCGCTGTTTACAGGGTTGAGGGTTTAAACACATCCTAAACCCAATGCTAATACGGTTGATGCTACAAATCCTGCATTACCCATAGTAAGGAATATACCATAATCTCCATAGTTTAGGGTCCTTAAAGGTAATGGTAAGGATTTCTATCATCAACAGTACCATATACGCTCAGCTCTAGGCCCAAACTTTACGCGCAAGGCTTCGAGTTCAGGATGTAGGACGCGCGAGGATTGACTTGTCAGGATGTGGCATTCGAATTTGCTTTTTTTGGCTCACGGTTTCGGATCATATAGCGGATTAGGAGAAATAGAGCTTTAGAGCAATATGGGGGCATAGGATTATCTAGGGGCTTGGGCTCCGGATGACAAGCGCCCCTGAAGACTTTTGCCAAACTTAACGAGGGAGGCTTTGGGTTGTCCCCAGTACGGACATAAAGAGCTGCCATGGAAGCCCTCGTTCCAGCGTTTACGGCTTGGAGTGGCGTTCCAAAGATGCTTTGCTCACAATGAATAGAGTTCAGGGTTTAGGGTTGTTGAGCTTCTCCGGAGCGCGATGACTCTGCTTCAACGGCTAATATCACACGAGGGGTTGCCGGTTGCGTGTTCAGGGGCTCGGGGCATTTAGGAATACCACTAAACCATGTCCTACAGCCAAAGCAAACATAAGATCCACATGGATGTCCCTGGCAGCAGAAGCTGGCCTCCTTGTAGTACTGCAGCTCCTGCATTGCACAAAGCTTTTCCAAAAAAACCACAGAATCCCAGAATTCCTCAGGGTGTGGGCGCCTGAAGCTTCTACGGTTCGCCCCTCTCGGTGTGCCTATCAAAGATGTCTTACTAGTAGGGTTTGGTGCCTCTTAAATGCTCATGCCGAGAGACTTCTCAGGGTGAAGAGCTGGTAGTACTAGGTTCGCAAGCTACATCCGCGACTGCCAGGCAGATTTATCAGAGAACTTGGGGCTGCTCTCTATCCCTGGAGACTTGGACTTTACTTTGGCAAATGGCTGATATAGAGATACTCGCCACTTACAGTCCCTATATAACTTCTAACTGAATCGAACAACGAAGGCCTGAAAATCCGATCATCGCCTTTTTGGCCACACTACCACTGCTTTCACTGGCTCCTCCTCACAGAATCACCCCTGAGCTAATAAAATTGCTAAAACTTGTCTGGGAGCCGTGCAGAAGAATTCACTCAAAGGGCAACACTTCGTGGTCTACAAGTTTCGGAATTGGTTGACTGTCCGGGCCGTCTACGCACCACGACATGAAAACCCTAAACCAGCAAGTGAACATTTTGACCCGCAGGACCCCTACCAATGGACGCCCAAACCATTGAAGCTTTACTTGGAAAAGGGTTTGGGGGTATAAGACTATGGTATGATTATCAGAGGCAGCCCTGAGGAATAGGGTCTGGACATGTCACCAGGCGCGCCTGCAAACTTTCTCTGATGTCGTCCAGAGCGCGATGCGAGCCGCGCTTGCGCGGTGCTGCATCTGAGTTTGCCGCACACGTACGCAGTTTGCGGGAAAGTCGTGACAAAGCTAAGTTACACAGGGATAAGTCGCAGTGGTATGGTCAGATCGTAGAAACCAAAGTGTGTCGTTAGGTGCGACATGGGCATTGCCAGTACCACTTCCTACCGTTAGACCTATGACCCATCTATAACAATGAAGGAAACTGTTGACATTGCGTGTCCTCTTGAAAGCTCACTGAGGATTCAACGAAGGCCCGCGTACAGAGCATGCAATTCCTGTTATGGACGAGAAGAGACTGAGTACTCAGAGTAATTACGGGTTTGGGGCATATACAAGTGTGATTAGATTAGGGAGGCCTAGGGAGAATGTAACATTACTACGTGTTCATTGAGGCCCCTATGCTATGCGGGCCATCGCCACGAGCCAGTTCCGAGTATATGCTAGGTCTTTGAGGATCATGGGCTTACAGAAATGCGCGCAGGTCGTATCCATGATCCTAAACCCTAAACCCCTAAACCCTAAACCCTCTTTGGGGTGCTTCTTGGGTATGATGGTGCTGAAGGTTTCATCGGATTTGGAGACGTGGGGCTCAGGGTTAGGGTATTTGGAGTTCAGGGCTACATCAAGCGTTTTGCTGCATTCCCGCGATGACGGACTGGCGAAGGCTTGGACTTGCGATTTGCACAGGAAACGCAAACCTGTCTCGGTGGCTGGACGATCCTGATCTGTTCCATGTTCCTGGCTCGAAAAATCGGCCTCTAAGTATCTAACGCATTTCGGGTTTGTGCTTGGCAAGCTTATGCCTGGTGCAGACCTTTTCTAGCGATCGAAGTTGACCGGCTCGTGGTCCGGGGCTTGGCTTTTCACACCGACATTCGCAACTTAGTTGGCAGGATCTAGACCCACTCTGAATCCCAAACCCTCAGTCTCGAAACTCACACGAAGACCCTGAATCCGCGCCCAGCGCGTGTGGCTCGAGTAATTTTCTCAAGGTCCAATCCCATATGGGTCGTGTAGCCCCAAACCCGACGGTTATGAGCTATGACCCCTTAATCACAGGGGATAACCCCTAAACCCTAAACCCTAAACCCTTAATCACAGGGGATAACCCCTAAAACAACAGGTTTTTTGATCCCCCACAGCTGCTGCCGGGTCACCGAACTCAGCAGGAAACCATCTGCGGCTAAGCTCCTATGGCGTTCGGGCTTATGTACGGTTGGGGGTTTAGGGCTTAGGTCTGCAGCCTTCCAGACTTCTAGATGCTGCCGGTTTCAAGATTGCACGAGCCATCAAACCTGGAACCGTCTATCTTTGGAGCAATTGTGCTTTCGGGTTTCCATGTATACTGAACCCTAAACCCTAAGCCCTAAACCCTAACCCCTAAACCCTGAACCCTAAACCCCTAAACCCTAGACCCTAAACCCCTAAACTCTAAACCCGAAACCCTAAACTGAACTTCAGGGCTTCAACATCACGTCCTTGATGGTACTCACATCTACCAATCGGTAGTGCATATGCCCAGTAAACCGCGGACAGAACTTGTCCAGGAATCGCTTGTCCATGTGAACCTCAGAGAAAAGCAGTGCAACAAACGCCACAACATAACTGCTCCAAGGCTACTGTAAGAGTACATACAATAATATTTTCAGTATGCGAAAACATCGAACGCTAATAGCCTACAAGCTAACATGCGGTTTTGCCGGTCTTAGTTTCTGCGACTGTTTAATTTCAGGCTGGTAAATTACAAACAAATGTGAACATCGGGAATCATGCTAAACCCTAGACACCAGCGCCATCTAGAGACTAGACGGCATGAAACAAGGAGGCTCTCCACCTTAAACAATGAACCATAAGAACAAGAAAGACCCTGAACCACAAACACCTCTTAGACCCGTCAACTTTCCCTAAAGGCCGACAGCCTAGCACCGGTTTAGGGTTTAGGGTTCTAACATCGGTTTAAGGTTTAGGGTTAAGGGTGAATAAGTGTCGGGCCAACTACAACGCAAAGGCGCGCTGATGCACTGAGGGCCGGGCCGTGTTGCCCGCCAAAACGCCTTTGCCCTGCTTCACATGCCTCTCAGGGATTAGCGGTTTAGGGTTTAGGGTTTTAGTAAAGGGTTTAGGATTTAGGGTTATAGCCGAAAGCGCTGGAACCCCAAACCCTGTAAGCCCCAAACAAAACAGAGTTTATCGCTGGTGGAAAACACTCTTTTTCAAGGGTGCTTACGAGTTTAGGGCATAGGCTTGAGGGATTATGTTGTGGTCTAAACCAAGGTTTAGGGTTTAGGGTTGAGAGGTCGCTGCAATCCCTGAAATAGAGTCCCACGAAATCCACCAAAATCGGATCCCAATACTTCGGGACCTAAACATCCCGTCCTTCTCACTCTCATCACAATGAGAATCCTAGTACTTCGGTGTCGAAACGGGGCCTGTCTATACTTATGAAAAGCATCCGGCTACTTTCGTATCTAATCAAGGTTCAGGGCTCAGGGCTGCTGAAATTCTGATAATTAATTTGCGGTGTACGCTAGGGTTTCCTATTGTTCGGGACTTCCCTGTCTTTGAATACCCTGGCTTTGAGGGGAAGCACCAGGTCTGTGTCTAGGAACTTGGTGTTCAGGGTGTAGGGTTGAGGTTTAAGGGCTACAGTGTAAGGCTTTGGGCTTGAAAGCTAAGGGTTAGGAGTCGGTTTGGGAGGTGAAAACCTTCGTGGTTTCTGGGTGAAGGTTCTGAACCAGACCTGATTCAAATTGAATTCTCGTCATGACTGCTAACTTCTACACTTAGTTTGCGGGTGCTGCTTTTCATGTGTTTCCCACCGTTCTTTGTTAGTTGACGTATGGTCTACAATCATCCAGCCCTGAACGCAGAACCCTCAGTTCAACCTTCAAAATCCTGTAAATTATATAGGGTTTAGGGTTTAGGCCCTCCATGCCCCTCCCGAAAGAGTAAATAAACCACGTGGGCGCTGCGCTAGAGCCAAAATAAACTGGGGTTGCTTTCCGTTGAATCGCCGAAATCTATATCCCAAAGCTGGGATACTCAAGCTGGCCTGGACAAGAACTCGTAGAGCATGCCATCTGCTTCCGCAAGGCTGATTGTAGACTTCTGCACCTTCCATGGGTTGTTGCATGTGCTTGGCAGCCACAGTGGCTCAGTAAGAAGAATGTAAACATGGGGTTATAAGCGAAGGCGAAGGTAAGATGATGCCAATCAAAATACTTGCAACTCACTTCACAGACTACTTGCTGTGTTCCACGAATTCCTTTGAAACCCTAAACTCCTAAACCCTAAACGCTGCTTCAGGGCTTGTGGGTTCTACAAAGAAATTGATGTTCAGAGTTTGGACACTCTGCCAGAGTTGCCCAGAAAAAGGCCAACACCGAATTAATCTAGGCTTACCTATAGTCTCCATTGTAGTTCCTTTTGCGGTTACCTTTCACGATCCTTACTATAAAATTGGCTCAACCAAAAAAAGGAACTACAATGGAGACTATAGGTGGTGTTCAATCCCTGCGCGGCAGAAGCCTCAAGGGATTTTCCAAGCTTCGATCTCGCCGCTTAGGTCCTAACTGCTCTCAGTGCCTGACATACATTCACAGTAGTGGTGAACATAAATTTAGCATAGGGCAATAGAGGTGTGTGTGTGTGTGTCTGCACATTTAAACAGACACAGTCACGGACATAGAGACACAGACACAGACAAACACACACACACAAACACATAAACACCTGTGACTGTTTTGGAGGCAAGAGGATGTGCGGAAGATAGAGAAGCCACACGACTGCTTGAATAATTCGGATGAAATGCTCATGAGTAAAGTGAAGCATTTGCGAAAGAAAGCCCGCATGGAACTACATCGTGCCCACAAACTCAGAGACGTGTGCAGCGAGTTTTTTGAGCACTAGCTTGCAGTCAGCGAGACGGCGAGACAAAAATGACATCCAGATGAGAGCACCTTCGGCCAACTTCGGAGGAGCCCATCACTACGATGCCCATCTTCAATCACGACAACAATGTAGGAGCAATGCTTGCCTACTTCGCGATGATCGCGTCGAGAGTTTGTGGATGATGCATGCTGCATGTATGTGTAGCCGGCCGCAAAGCGATACCAGAAATGACTACGATCTCGGATGGCTCAGGCTCTGGTTCTAAACCCTGCTGTGGGGCTCAACAGGCCATCCAAAACTGCCCGGAAATCCGGAGATGCACCTCAAACTTCCAAGTTAGTTTAAGGCAAACCCCTCGCTTAAACCCTGCATCCTAAATCGTGAAAAATCCTTAGAACAAGTCTTAGAACCGCTTGGAAGATCTGCCTAAACCCTAAAGCCCAAACCCTGTAAGCCCAAACCCCGTCTAGAACCCTCAGATCCCCTAAACCCTAAACCCAAAACCCTAAACCCTCTAAACCCCTAAACCCCTAAACCTTAAACCCCCCCTCTACTAGAACCCGGAGATCCCTTTAAAGGGTCCCAGTACAGCGGCCGAGTCCTGCCTGTTCGGCGAGGTTGCCAGGCTCGGCGCGCTTCGAGGCGCTGTCCCAGCCGAACTGCTTCTTACACCAGTCGTTCATTCCTCAGGGCTTTGGGTTTAGGGTTTAGGGGTTTAGGGGTTAGGGGTTTAGGGTTTAGGGGTTAGGGTTCATTCCTCAGATCTTGTATAGGGTTTAGGGTTTCGTTCTGTCTCTTGCAAAACCGTAAGTTTAAGATAAGATTGAGAAGTACGGGCCATTATGCCCATGGTGGCGGCAAGTAACAAGAGCGGGGGGACTCGTGGGGGAAAGGGCTGCTTGCCCAACCAACCTTGGCAACGGAAGCTACCCAAGGCCTGCCAAAACCTCCGCTAAAGTTTAGGGTTCGGGGAAGCCCTGTAAGTGTTCAACAGCCATAGAGTCCGTTGAGCACTTCGTCTGGATGGTGAACCACCTTAGGTCGGCAATTTCAGATGCATTGCACTGCCGCTGAACAAAGCCTCGTGGAGGGCCCCTCGGTCAAATATGCGGGCTCTACATACTTCGAAGCTACTCCTCAGATGCCTGAGGAGTGTAATGTAGGGGCCTGAATAAGTAGAACAGGGTCTTGGGGGTTGCTTATAAATACACCCACAAACCCTATTCTAATAATTAAGGTCCCTATATTAGGGGGGAAAGGCAAGCAGCAAGATCCGGCCCCTCGGCGACCACGTTGAGGTGGCCATCCGTGATGATGACGGCCACCTGCGGAGAATGGCATCTCCATAGGTTGCTCCCACCCAGACCTTCCAATATTCCTTTTTTTAAGGGTTTTATCCCCTTTCACCTAGGGGTTTAGGGTTTTGGGTGGTGCCCCTAATGCATAAATGGCAATCATACTCATAACGACAGAAATGGTAATGTTAATAACGATCAGCATAGCGATACGTTACTCCAACCGCACACAACGGCACCTGCAACACAAAAATCGGAAAACAAAAGCACCCTTGTAGAACCTTGATAGAATCCGCGCCTTGTAATTAGAGTCCTTGTAGAACCCGTTTAGAACCCACAAAATCTGATCGAAACGGGACTTAAACCCCTAAACCCTAACCCCCAAGCCCTAAGCCCAAAGCCTAAACCCTAAACTACTACCCCTAAACCCTCAACCCTAAACCCTAAACCCTAGACCCTGAGAGAGGGCCTCCAGCAGCGTGTCATCGCCGGGCCCTCCGCCGCCTCCCAGGCCCGTCATCTCACAGTCGACCCAGACCAGGGCCTCAACAAAGCAAGTAAACCTAGAGGTTTAGGGTTTAGGGTTTAGGGTTTATAGTGCTTATAGGGTTTATAGGGTTTAGGGTTTAGGCTCCATATACTCTACTATTATGGAAGTAGGTTCGCCAAAGCCACAATAAGGATGGTCTTTTGGGACCCAATTCCATAATGGTAGTCTATATGGAGCCTCTGGGAAAGCAAGGGCTCTCTTAGGGGTTTAGAGCGTTCTTTTGAAAGAGGCTCGTCTAGGATTCAATTGGAACTTTGTCAAGCACGGATGTTTCAGGATCTAGATAGGGCTTGTAGGGTGTTTACGGGATCCTTTGTACGGTTTAGCATAGCGAATTTGGGGAGAAAGCTTCAACGGGACTAGAGGGGATCTTGCATATATGGCGCTTAACCATAACAACTCGTAGCCATAGCATGGGTGCCTGAAACAGCCTGAAACATAACCCACGCACTCATAACCACCCGTGATCGGTTCAATCGACCCCAAGCCGCTGAGAGACTTGAATTAAGAGTTTCTTCTGAGAGCACTTGCCCGGAGCCTCATCCAGCTTTGCTGGCACCTCGGTAGGTCCAGCAGCGTAGCCTCTTGCACTCGAAATAGGGGGGAGAGGCGCCTCTAAACAGAGGTATGTGTAAAACAACCTTAATGAAGGGAATTCGTAAGTTAGCTGTCAAGTTCTTACGAAGTCTCACGATCTCTATGAACGGTTCAAGATTAGCTTCGAGGTTGAGGGCGCCTGTAAAGGATGCAAGAAGCTTAAGTTTAAAACATGCTACGGAGCCGTTTCAACGCTCACGGTCTCGAGCTCAGAGACATTGTTCAGCTTTCGGGCTAAAGTTCCTAGACGAGTTTGGTCTTTACGGGCTTACGGGCTTGACCCCTAAACCTCAAACCCGAGAACTCACTCACTCGCTCACCAAACCCGAGAACCCCAAATCCTTAAAACCTTGCGGGTTTGCGGCTCAAAACACTGGGCGACCTTGGCCTCTGGACAAGAGCACCCCATGGCCCTTCTGCTACTCGAGGTCTCTCCGGAATGCGCTCCCAAATCCGAAACTAGAAACTCCTCCTCCCCCTTGGTCAGTCAAGGGTTCAGGGAGGTTCAGGGCCTAGCGTCAGGAACTAAATGCGATTGTTGTGAGGTTTTGGCTAGTTTGTTTTGCTTGAGAGAGTTTAAGCTCAGTGTCGCAGAAAACCCCCTTTCAAAGACAAGGCTTGCGCTGTCCTTTGGTTCCCGGTTGGATGACCCCATATAAGCCCTTACGAGATCGTTGCTGAGAACGCGAGAGACCCCACCCCTGATCAGGACCGCAACTTACAGGGTTCAGGTGCTCGCTTTGGGTTCGTGTAGCATCATAGGCCTCGAAGCCCCCTAAATACTAAATCCTCAACCTAAACGCTTAACCCCTAAATCCCTAAACCCCCAAATCCTAAACCCTAAACCCTAAACCCCTAAACCCGAAACCCTTAACCCTTAACCGACAAATCCTAAAGCCTTCAGAGATCCGAAGTCCGAATCGTCTAATTCAGCTTTCGCCTGCCATCCGCCACGGTGGAGCCGAGACTCGGCCTCGTCTTGAGTTTTAAGGGCCCTTAAAGGTTTAGGGTTTAGGGTTTAGAGTTTAAGGGTCCGTATAGGGTTTAATTGGGCCCTTTAGGGCTTTATGGCTCTTAGGCGTTAGGGGGCCTCTTAGGGTGTAGGATTCTTGGGGCTTCGGGGGTTTAGGGTTTAAGGAGGTTAGGGCTTTAGGCTTTAGGGTTTAGGCTTTAGAGCTTAAGGCTCCTAGGGTTCTTAAGCGCTCTTCCCGCAAACCCTAGCAGTTACAGGCTTTTATGGGTGAATCAGAACAAGGAGCCCGAAAGACACCAAACTCGAAAATGGGTGGCGGAAGGGTTCAGGGAATCCACAAAAAAGATTCTTTAAACCCTATAAACCCTAAACCCTCAACCCTAAGCCCTAAACCCTAAAGCCCTAAACCCTAAAACCCTAAAGATTCTTTAGCAGGACGTGTGTTCTATACATGTGTTCTATAGAGTCGAGGGGTGTCTAGCTGAGGGTGTAGGCCTGAAGGTTTCAAAGAACCCCCTCTTCAGCAGTAACCCGCTGGCAGAGGCACATACTTCCTTGCTTAGGGTTATAGGGTTATAGGGTTTAGGGCTTAGGGTTTAGGATTTAGGGTTTTAGGTTTTAGGGGCTGGCTTGAGTATGATCGGAATTTGGAAACAACAACTGTCAAACGTACAGCCAACAACCCAGCAAAGGATGATGGGAGGTAAGGAGCGCAAGATGCACGATAAACACTATGACAAACACCCAAGTCTTGAACTTAAGGCTTACTTCGAGGCTTATGGGACTTCGTAAGTATAGGTTCTAAGTAGAGCTGCTGCATGCTTGACAATTCGGCCGGCCTAAGTTCCGAGAAGGAGGGCTTACCCACGAGAACGGTTTAGGGTTTAGGGTTTAGTTTTTAGGGTTTAGGGTCTTAGGACGTCGTAGCCTTCAGGAATCACTGGTGTGTCTGTGGTTGGAGGCAAAGGATTGCAGGCACATGATTCGAGGATGTTCGAGCGTTATTGCTTTGGCGTGAGCCCCAAACCTAAGCCCTACACCCTAACGCTAAACCCTAAAAACCCTAAACACCCTAAGGGTTTGTTGAAACAAGGTTTAGGGCATTAGACCATGTATATTAGTGTTATAACTAGTTACATCTACATAACAACAGCTGAATTAGTATTTCTAGCTAGACAATAGCAGTTGTAATAGCATCACTGCTTATTCAAGCTTCTTTCGTGACTAGCAGTCTTTCCTCCGCAGATGTGCACAGGAACCGAAGCCGTAGCTGTCTGTGGCATCCCAAACTGAGGCCCTTGGAAGCCGAAAGGCCAAAACCTCGGGGTTTCGGGTTTAGGGTTCAGGGTTTAGGGGTTTAGGTTTAGGGTTCAGGGTTTAGGGGTTTAGGTTTAGGGTTCAGGGTTCAGGCTTTAGGGGTCTAGGGGTTT